CCTAAGGCAGATGATTTCTTCATTAAGGGCCCTTCTCCAGGGGAATTTACAGGAAAGTTGAGATGAATACTATAATGGTAGGAGGATAATGTGGTTAAATTAAAGGACATTGGATCCCAGTATAGAGGCTCTCTTTCAGGACTTAAATGGCCCTAAATTGTGACTGCATCATCCCCTTCCAGTGAGGGTGTGCTTTACTCTGAATGGAGCCTTCAGTTGGGGTTCAGTGCTACCCTCACACTGTACCTTAGCAGTCCTGAAAGTCCCAAACAGTAACAGTGGGTAACAGTTTGCCAGTTTATTCAAGACAAAACACACAAAACATCAATATTGGGAAATAACATCTCATGCTTAATCCTCTACTTGGAGTTCTGTTTTTTTCTTTTTTTCTTGTGCGTTTGCATCGTGTGGTGGTAGGAGATGAGGGAGGAAGGGCAGGGCAAATTTGCTCCATTTACTTCATTTACAAGGCAAACTCCACCTGTCACAGAATTAGAGCTGTATTGCACGCATTGGGTTGCAAGCCTGGGCAGACTCAGACCTTTGCGTAGCTTATCCTGAAGCTCATTCTTGTTGGTCCTTTTTTTGTTGACCAGACTCTTGTATGTCCTTTGTCCAAGAAGAAGGTGGCTTTGCAGGCAGCCTAGGTTGGCTCTGCATGAACCCAAGCATTGAGTAGAATAAGCCGATGTTTCCAGCATGACAGAGTTATGTATCCACTGCAAAATCCTCCATGCTTACTTCAAGAAGAGTGGAAGTAAAAGGGAAACCAAAAGCAACTGTGAAAGATAGTAATAAAAGAGAATTATACAGAGCTTGAGGCATAGGAGGAATTTGGGTAGAATAGAAAACTCTCCAAAGTACCCAGTTCAGAGAAAAACAGGTGAAAAGGTTTGTTTTATCCAATAGAGGAAACTTGGTCTATTGACTATGCCTGAGAAAGCTGTAGCTGTGTTGTTGGAGGGAGAGAGCAGTAATTCATGTAAAAGAAGATCTCCTTCACGTTCAACTTCTCATTTTTATGAAGTATAGAAGCCTTGAAACTTCTGCTTGTGGAAAAACTCCTCAAAACTCCTCACCCTAAATTATGAGGTGTGACTTGAAAGCCAGGGTCACTTCCTGCACTGAAAAAGTGGCAGCATGTGTTTTGTTGGCCAAAACTTGTGCTCCGATACGATGTCCTGTAACTGCAGCCATTGGAGGCAGACACAGGCCCAGAAAATCCAGTCTCATGTTTTTCCAAGGTAGCACTGGTGACTTGTGTTACAAAGCAAGGGCAAAGGTTTATCAGCTGGGAAGTTTGAGTTTTCTCTGCTGCCGCTTTGTGCTGTAATCACCTGGGGCAGTGTGAGCCTGCACCCTCAAGTGGTGTCTGGATGGAGCATGGATCCTTGCTAGGGGTGTTGGAGTGTCTTTGTTCTCTTTTCTTCCCCAGAGAGCACGTACAGTCAATGTGGTAAGACAAGGCACCAGTTTTTATTTTGGACGTGTGGTGTGGCAGAGGGAATTGTGTAGGAAGTGACTTTTTGCATCTTTGAGCCTCAGTAAGTTGTGAGCTGCATGTAGATTAGCTAATTCAGTAGGCAGTGAAGGGTAGAAGACAGGCAGTGGAGATAAACATAGGTTAGAAAGATGTTTTCATTATAATTACAGAGCTCTGTGAGAGGAGAAAATGGTTAGTGCTAAACCTGCATTGAAGTCCCTCAGAAAATAAGCTGGGGTAGCTGGGATCAAGACTGACTTCTGCTCTCTGCAGTTTGCAGTGGGACACTCTGGGGGCACGCTTATGATTGTATCAGTTTACTTAATGGCCACATCAATCAAGTGGTATTTTTGGTAGCAGAGTTGTATTAATTCACTACTGGATGAACCGGTAGTGGTTCATCATGTGCCTTGGCAAGCTGATTTGTCTCATGTCTCTTGTTAGAGCATTTACACAACCCTTCTAAGTAATTTAGCTGAGTCAGTCATGGGTTTGATTCTATAATGTATTCTGTGTTCATTTCATACGTTCAGAGTAGTTTGCTGTATTTATTAGAAAGAAACTTAGAGTAGAGTGCCCAGTGAAAGCAGCATTAGTGTGCTTTTATGGAAGAGTCACATAACTTGTAGTTAATTGGAAGGATGCTTCTGGCAAGTTCATAAATGTGTAGGAGGGCAAGATTACCCTGATGCTTCAAAGAAAATATTTTTTATTAAAGACTGAGATTTCTGTCATATTTATGAAAAAGAAAGCTTGTGTGGGAGGATAGTGCTTTCTGGTGCGGTGGTGAATTCGGATTTTATTTTTTGTCATAGTCATTGTGAAACAAATAACGGGCAGTTAACAGAAAGGTATTAGCTGTAGCACTGGCAGAATGGGTGATCTTTGAGAAGGGTGAAATACATTTTTATTGCAGGAGAAACAGTAGCACAGTTGGAATCTTACTTGAAGTACAAAAGTGTTACAAGTAAATGATATTCATGGGAATGTTCTCCTTTTCCTGTGCCCCAACCAACAAGTGTTCAGGTGTCCCAGTCTGCTCTGTGATGATAATACTCCTGTTGATAGTTATCGTGTGTATTCCCAAAACACAGCCTCCACTTTGTGGCTGAAGCAATTGAGGTTTTCTCCCAGTCTTTCTGATAAATGTATCAATAGATCTGGGCTGTCCCAACCTAGACCACTGTGCACTAATGCCACCACATTAGTTAAACTGATGGCACATCTTTGCCTGCCTTTAGAATGGTTTGGGTTATTAAGTCAAACTTAAATGTTCACACCTTTTTTTTTTTTTTTAATCAGAGTGTGAAAGGTGTCACAGGCAAATGTATTTTGTAATTCCTTAAGCAATAAAATGAAGTCTTAAGGTAGAATTGCTCTGAAGTTGATTAACTGTTCTGAGCTCAAGAATGTATAAATAACATACAATGATTAGAATTCACTTCTTCAAGTGACTCTTCAGCACCTAATTTATTTCTAATCCTGTATGTAAGAAAATCTTTCATCTGTTTTGAGCTTTGACTGCTAAGATGGGTACCTCAGCCTTGCAGAAGCAATGCTGTCTGGTATGGAGAAGAGTCAGTGGAAGATGTTTATCAGCAAAACAGCAGAGACTCTGTATGCCAAGTAGCAGTTGTCCAGAGTAGTGATTGCCAGAGCTTCTGGCTCCTTCAGCCTACTGCTAATGGCACAATTCAGAGCTGTTTGTGTTTTCATAAAATAAACCTAATATTGTTTGGGCTTGTGCTCCAGTATTTTTAGAGAATATTACAGAAACCATTGCTTTTAAAATAATAAAAATTTTAAGTGTCATATCAAAAATTGTGGCAAGAACAGTGGAGACTTTATTGGAACATCTAAAAGGTAAAGTTTTGCCAGTTATCATTTTGCATTAGATGATATTGATCGTGCTTGAAATAGCTAAGGTTTCTTTTTTTGAGCTTTACGAAAAACAATGACTTTTATGTTCTCTTAAAGAGACTGTGCAAAGTGAACTATGGGAGACTTTCTACGCAATTGTGAGATTTTTGATAAAAACTATTTTGGTTTGTTTTAATTTCTTTTAAAATTAGCTGCTGTATTCTGAAGTCTGTAGTGAATGAAGCACGTGGGTATTGTCCTCAGAATAACTGCTAATGTCAAAATGGTAACATCTTTCAAAATCCTCTTTCTTCATTTTGCTTCTTCTGTTGCAGAAGACAAAGACAAATCAATAGATGAAGCATAAAAAGTGCTGGAAGAAAGCATTATTGAAATTGGCAAAGAAGGATTTAGAAATTGATTTGTATTGTGGCTTCTGTCAATCTTTTAAACTTGGGTTTTGTTTGCACAAAGCCTTCAAATTGGGGAATATTTGGCTGTGAGGAGGCTGTCATCTTCAAATTGAAGCGACTTACTACAGTCACAGTAGAATTTTGTGGCAGAGCAAAAAAAGTGAATTATTTCTGAAAAATGTAAGTGGGTGGGTAGGGGGGTGGTTGTCTTGAAAACTGAAGCAAAACACTCTTAAGGCCTTTCTTGCTTGCTGTGAACATTAAAAATACCCAATAAAACCAAACTGTCCATGCTACTGTTTTTCTTTTACCAGTTACATTTAAAGAAGATTTCTTTGAAATACAGTCTTAGATATGTAAGTTGTATACACTGTGGTAGCTAATCAGTGGTATCTAGGTGGTAGCTGTCAGTGGTAGCTAATATTGGTATATAATTTTTATATATTTTAGTTTCCTCCATTGGGCAGACTAAGAATGGTGAGATTCACTGATTTATCCTAAACAGTAAATTAAACTTTTTTCTTGCAAAAGTTTGCATTTAACTCTACCGAGATTCTTCAGAATTTAGACTAACAGTTATCTGATTTATATGTATTTGCAGCACCAGGAGTTTGTCCTTCCTCTGTTAGCTGCTGATTTTATTGTCTTACAAAGGAATGATAATATATGCTTTAATATGAAAAACAGTATATTGATGATAAACATGAAAAGGGATTTTTGGAGGCTGGTAGAGATCCTGAATCTATTTTATTTTGAATATATTTAGATCTCAATCTGGTAGTGAAATTTAAATGAGAGCTTGATTTAAATGTCTTTCACAGTCACAGTATATTAATACTATATAGTTGACTTGAGGTTGGCCCAATAGACAAATGCATTCCAAGTTTTGGAATAGCATATAATGAGTGAAAAATGAAATAGAATGTTTAAGGTGCTATTTGCATGTTAAGCCAGTGTCCTGAAGGGGTTTCATGCATTTCTGGGTGTCTCAGTTATTTTGATGTTAGACTGCTTGTAATTTTGCTAAAATATACTTGTTGAATAGGAGATATCCAGAAAGTCTTGCATTAATTTGCTTTTGTTTTTTTTCTCTTTAGACAGTGCCTTGTTATAAACTAAAATCACACATTCCTAAGTGTAAACCGATCATGTTCCCAATGGAAATTTCAGGAATACTTGTGGCTACTTTCAAAATGTGGAAATCTATTTATTTTTTTTTTTTCCCCACTTGTTTTTCTTCTTAGGTTTTGGCACTGATTGCGTTCATCTGCATAGAGACCATCATGGAATGCTCCCCTTGCGAAGGCCTTTATTTCTTTGAATTTGTGAGCTGTAGCGCGTTGGTGGTTACTGGAGTTCTGTTGCTTATGTTCAGTCTAAATCTTCACACAAGAATACCACAGATCAACTGGAATCTTACTGTAAGTTCATGCAGATTCTTACTCTGTTGAAAATAGCTGCAAATCTCTTAAGTTTGGGCTTTGAACTGTACTTTCTACTGCAGTTAAAGATTGTGTATGAGTGTTTTCTATGCTGAATAAAGTAGACATTTTACTTGTATATAATATGAATACTAGCAGCAGAAGGATCTTTGAAATGTGGCAAAATTAAGCAACATTAAATAGAGCTAAAATTGTCTTCGGGTAGACTCTGTTTGGAAGGAAAAACCTCCTGCTAGTGCCAGTAATTACTGTTTGTGGATCAAGTGGGAAAAAATGCAGGCTGTAGTTACTTAACTTTGACAGATGCTGTATTTACAGTAGCCCGTTTTTCTCTCTTAAACTGTTTTTATATTGGGACAGCTGTGCTGCATATATTTTCTTACACAGATTAATACAATTGTTGGGTAGTTGTGTAAAAATTTACGTGTTTTCTGTGAAAATCAGGTGTTTGAATTGCTTACGCATATAAGTATTAAACATATAACGTATTAAACTATAGCTATTAAACATTGACTGGCAATGCTCAATGCATTCTCAAATACTAAAAGTTTTAGGCAGAGAACTGTTGGCAGTGCACATTCCTTTTGTACAAGTCTCTGTTTCCGTGCTGTATTATGAGTTAAACTTTAAGATTGGGTTGCATAAACACAGGTCACAAAATCATTTTAAGTCACTCTAGCAAAAGATCTGTCAGCTTCAAGGGCAATATTTGCATCAGCTTTTTTGGACAGTACACATACATACATGCCCATGTTCTGTTTTATTTTAGAACACTGTTAGAGGTCAGTCCCAGAGGTTTTTAGGCTTCTTTGTGTTTTTTTTTTTTTTTTTTAACTTGTTTTTAGTGTCATTTATTAATGTTTCAATTTGCACATGTGCAGTAGCTGTTTATAAGCCAAAACGACATCAAAAATTAGCGTGAAATACGGAATTAAATGATCTTTGTACCCTGGGCATGCATGATCTATTGAGGAATACTTAGTAGATAGATTAGATGAACTGAGAGCTGTGACTGGGTAACCAGGTGGCATGCAGAACAGAACCAGTGCAGTTACTGGGCTTTCTTGCTTTTGCTGCTTTTGTCTCCATTCTGCCAGTATTGTCACCACTTATCCTGGCAAGTTGAAAAGCAGCAGCTGTTGGGAGAAGGTAGTCTCTGTTTCTGTTGCCAGCTTGTTTTTTTTTTAACAAGCATCACAACAGCCTGATAACAACAATTGAAGACTGTCTTTTTATGCCACACAGTTCTATACTTGCTAGTAGGATTTACAAGAGTGTGAGAACAAGTATGTGTAAGAGCATCAGCATAAAATACATGATGGCTTTGCTGGTGTAATGCGAGTGGTTTCACAGTGAATGCTAGATCTAGCTCATGTTCAAAGTAAGTTAGACAGACGTTCTTATCAAGAGACTGGAGAGTGGTGTGCATGGTGTCCGTGGCTGAGCTGAAGTTGTATCTCTGGAAGGACAGTTTAATGACTTTGCATACCCTTGATTCTGCATGTGTGCATCTTTTGTTCTGTTGTTGAGCCCTGTGACACACTCCTCCTGCATACCAGACACTTTCACAATACGTTGAACATACTTAAGTACAGAATCCTAAATGCAGCTCTCTTCTTTCTCCCCAAATAACACAGTAGATGTCAATGTGTAACTGGCAGGTCCTTTCAGCCACTCTTGACTTCTTACAGTATTCGCGTGGCAAGAGCTGCCACTTTGCAGTGTTACTTGCCTCTGCATAACACTCTGCTAGAGAGGTATTTAGGGAAAAGAGGCGTAAAAATCTAACCAGTTGTGGTATGTTTTTTTTTTGGTTGTTTTTTTTTTTTTTTAATTTTTGGGGTGATGTTTTTGTTGGGTTTTTTTTGGTTGTTTTTTTTAGTTTGGTGCTTGGTTTGGTTTGTTTTTTATTTTTTTTGTTTAATTAAGTATTTTGGGGTTTAGGACAATGGTTGCACTTTGAACCCTTTTACCTAAACAGCATGGAGTAACATGACGTGGTTGGAGTTCGACCTGAAGGGCAGCTGTCAATGCTTTTGCTTAAGTCCATATTGCCAGGTCAACAGAGGTAGAAGTAAATTGTCGTGATTTTGCAAGTCTCATTCTTTTAGTTACATACTGAAGATTAAATGCGTCTTCCATCATTATACCAGAGATCTCTGATGGAAGGGAAAAGAGAACTGAAAGGTTCTGATTTCCATTAACTGATGAGACCATCTTTCTTCCTGGTATTTCTTACTGAATTTAACATTCATTAATCTGATGGGATCGTTAACTCCAAGAGGAGTGTGAGAGTATCTTCATTATTCTGTTAGCTGTAGTCTGTTGCAGGTACAGAGAGGGAGATGGAAAGCTCTAATGAAAAACCTGTGGGAGATTACTTTGGCAAAATTGAGGGAAAATTTAAGAATGTAGAATTGTGGCTGAATGCCTTTTTGGCTTATTTTGGCATTTTATTCTTTACTATTTAGATTTATATTCATACATTATTTGCCTCTTTCAATAGTTAATACTTCCCTGTGTTTTGATGGTTATTATGGTGATTTTGCAGCCTCTGAATATGACAGTTATCACAGGAGTTGCTTACTGAACAGACTTTGACACTCCTGAATGCTTTAGGATTAAGTCAGTCCTGCTTGTGCATTAATTCAATAATATACATGCTTTAAAAAAGTAATTCTGACTTTATAATGTGTATTTCCTTTGTGAAAAGTCTCAAACTTTGCTTTTAGAAGTTGTGTGAGAAGAAGAGGTTTTTGTAGTGCTTGAAAGAAATTCAGAAATCTTTTGTTGAACAGTGCATCGCACAGACTTCCTAGAAACCATTTGGATCTGTTTCCTTTCAAATGATCCTGTGTATTAGAAAGTACCAAGCCATCGTCTGCTGTTGTCCAACACAGGATTGTTTCCTTCAGTACTTTATTAAAATTAGACTTCTTTATAATGAGTTGTGGCTATTGTTTGATGTCCGCTACCCCTGGTTGTAATGAAAATGTGGATCAGTATATACTAATACCTAACAGATACACAAATTTATTTTTTTGTAATAAATATTTTTAGCTGTTTATGGAAAAGGGCTTTGTTTTGTTCCTAATTAGAGACTTGCCAGCCATTTTCACATCTTCATGAGGTAAGCATGAAAGAAACATAGGGATGGTGAGGCTAGGAAAGAGCTTTGCTTGGGTGTGTTGGAAAGAGGCAGGTCTGTTACAGTAAGATGAAAGTACAGTCGCTCATCTGTGTTGTGCAGTGCTATCAGTGTTATGCAAAAATGCAAAAGCTGGGGAACCTGTCGGTGGAAATTTCCATTTCTTTTATGCTTCAGAGCTCAGAGAGAGCCTATTCTGCAAGGAGACTAGCAAGTGGCACAGGAGAATGAACAGTACACCACAGCAGAGATTCCTGCGTCACTGATGAGCTGCTGCTTTTGCTTTTAGTTTTCAGAGCTAACTAATAGCTGAATGTTTGCTATAATTTTGTCTAACTTATCTTTTTTATTATTATATTGTCATGGTTTAGGATTCATTATTTGAATCTCATGTGATCTACAGGGAAAACTTTAAGATTTTGCAGCCAAACTATGCATGATGTAGCCCTCTAGAAGAAGGAAAGGGGGTAGGAAAGTTAGCAGAAGTGTTTGTAGTAACTTTGTGGTGAATTTGCATGTGGTTTGCCAGGCTTTCTAACAGTTAATGGCGCTGCAGAGTGGAATCCGCTGTGAAGCTGTGGTACCTTTTTCAGGGCTGAAAACTGAGATGCCCTGGGGAGGGTGACAAGTGATGGCAAATACTTGAGAATATAGGATTTGAAAATGTTGACAGTTTGTATGGTGGGAGACATCAGAATCAATACAGATGTAAATCACTGTATAATCAGCCAGTAGAAGGGACTTTTTTATGTCTGTGTAGGAAAAAAAAAAATCCGCTGGAGCACTGGTAGTGTATTCTCTGTGTGAGCAGTTTGGAATGCAGGCTTTTCAGACTAGAGCAGACTCAAAAGATGGGGCACAGAACTGAGCACAGCAATTAGAGTTCTGCCAGGCTTATTGGCCTGGGCTCAGTTCCAGGGAACCACTGCTACAGGGAGGAGCCATGAAGCATGAAGACTCAGGTGTGTCTTTTAGAAGACACAGATCAGTGGTTTTATCTTGTGCTGCCTGAAGATGTATTTTATCATCTTTGTGGGGTTGGTTTTTTTCCCTCAGTTATTGCAGGGATGAAACCTTTGTGTGTGAGCAGCTAACACTCGAAGTACTTGGCCAAAAACTTGGTGCAGTGCCAGAATGGCACTTGTGCTGGCTTTGGCTCTAAAGAGTGTAATTACAGAGCTGTAGTTCAAAGGTTTTCACAGGATAATCTTGATTTATTTTATGTTTTTAATTTCTTTTTTTCCCCTTCTGTTTTGATAAAACATCCTAGTTTTCTTTGGCTCGCGTAACTGTTGAATGAGAAATTAAGTCAGTCATCCTTCACTTCTATGTTTATTGGTATCAAAATAGTAATGCGTATTAAGGGTAAAAATGAATATTTTATAAATTTTAATAAATTGTCAGAATTCATTTCCTCTGTGTTAGTGCTCTTTTCTGCATTCTCATTTGGTGCAGCATGGTGTAAATCATGCATTATTCTGTAAGAAACACAAACACAAGTTTTAAACACAAGAACTATTACATGGTTTGGTAGTTACTGCTAATATGGTGTGTTGCTTTTTGACTGTAACTGCTGGTCCTGTCTGTATGCAGGACTGCTGATTGGAAAATTATGCAGGGAAAGCAGTGAGGAGCAGCTAAGAGAGAATCAAGAAGGAAATGGGTGATCTACAAGAAATCAAAATGAAATCAGGTTGTATAAGCATTCATTAATTCAGGAGCATGTTTTGTCATTTGCAGCAGAGCATCCAGCAGAGCTTGTATTTCAACTCAGAAGTGGTTAAAAATAAGACTAAAGTTATATGAGTCTTGGTTGCAAGGCCACTTCTTC